TAAAACCACCCTGACCCCCTGACATTTTTTCCAGAACTTTTTCAGGGGTCATAATACGGTTCTGAAATTTTTTGAGCTTGGAGACTAATCAATTTCCTCCATTTTATTACTCGTGTAAAAATTTCATATTATGCGGTTTCGAAGAAAAAAAAATCTGTCAAATAATGCTACTAGATACAAGTACAAGTTTAATCAAGTTGTGAAATAAAACATAGTTGGAAGTGGAAACGAAGGCAAGATCTTGACAGGAAACAAATTTATTGTCATTCAAGTTTGTTGTTGACGTTGTCTGTAAATATGCAACGAAAACACATTTTGATGGTATGAAGAATGTTTTGAGGTCTGTATTAAGACAGTCTGAAATTGTTGGGTGTGAAAAGTTGAATACTCCTTGTAATTTCAATATTTTGGACCGAACTTCCATGGATATTTCATGAATAATAGAACAATATACAATCGTAACTGAAGATGTAATGTATGCTCTACATTTATTTTTTTCATGTATAATGAAATAGAATTAAGAAAATTGAAGTTGAAGGTAATATATAGGGTATAGGAACAATAGGAAACAAACACCCTGTACATCGGCGTTTGGCAGACAGTCCCGCAATCATTTTCCCAAGCAAACTGGCAAGGCCAAGAATATTTCCTATATCAGACCGTGGGCGCTACTTTCAAATTCAAAATCCGTTTCATTAACTTTCCATTGTTATCTCATTTACATTCAGTAAGCATTCCAACTCCAATAAAAGTAGAATACTATTACGTATTTCTCATATTATAACATGTAAACAATGAGAAAATGTCACCGCGGTTATATTTTCACACGGGTTTGATATCCGGAAGAAAAAGACCAATATACCGCTAGTCCTTTTATCGGAAAGACTGGGATTTTTTCCGTTATAATTTGATGTCGCGAAATTGCATAGCAGATCATAATGGATTATTATCAAGACTACTTTTGCCAATTAGGCAAAAATCAGCGTGACGTTCATTATAGGATCAGAAAAAATGGAGGAAGGAAGAAGTGATTATCGAAATAATGTAGTGAATATAAGTACATGAGAGCCTCTCTACCTGGGATATGACTTCATTAATGTTCTCGAATGAGAACCGGAACCATGAATTACCATTAACGTTGCCCTTAAGCACCTTTTAAATGTTATCGAGAGTACTTTTGCGTCCATCCAGGCTGAATGATTATAATTGAAAAGTAATTTTCATTCGAACTTATCTAATTAACAGCTTTTTTATTTCACCAAAAATCAAATTCACAGGATGTAATTACAGGGTTGTTTCAGAATATTTAAAACCTGCTGTGAATATTTTGATAAACAAAATTGGTGACAATATTAAAAATACTAGCCTAGGAGTCGTAAGTAACCTTGATCGAGATAAAAAATTTAGTTTCTAATTGAATTTGACGTTAAATTCACCAATTCAACTTCGGTAAGTAAATGGATTTGGAATAGAAATCAACAAATAGAAACGAATATAGAGAATGAATATTTCGGACTTCTAATGAGTGTGACTAATACTGGACAGTTTGTTGCGAATACATGGACCTTCTAATATCAATAAATTCTCACTTAAAAGGGGCCATTCACGATAATGAATTTGATCGACATTCGTTGCCCATCAAATCAGGTAATTATTTGTATAATGGATTGAATAATATCGGAGACAAGTGTTTGAAAATAGGTCATGAGATATTTATAGAGTGGAAATTTAGTTGTTTTACAAAGCTGTAGATCATTAAAATATGTAAACAATGGAAAATTTCATGTCTTTAAATAAGTTATTTTAGTTATATATAGCTGAATTAGAAAGTCCACAATACATTACAAAAATATCAGTACCGATTATCCATTGATGACAAAAAACTTAAAAATGATTAATTTGAGAACAACATGGATGAAATTCAAGACAATTTAAAATGTCTGCTCATTGTTAAACCTGCTGAAGTTGATTTTTCTCTTCGGATGCTTCATCACATGAGGAAAAAAACATGTTCGGCAGGTTGAGCAAACACTACAATCTATCAATCAACGCTACAGTAACTCTTTATTCGCGATAGAAAATAACACGTTGCCCCACCTGACGGCAGCAACTTGAACACTTCTGAGTGGTTTGTTTTGATGATATGGCGAATAAGCACAAACAAAAAACAAATGTGAACCAATGAAAACAAAGTGAACATGCCGCTTTCACAGCTTTCAAGAACTTGAATAGGTGGCGTATGCTTATTTTCTATCGCGAATAGAAGAAATAGAGGCCTTTAGTCTGAAAAAACATGTGTAAATCTGCAATCGAGTAGTTCAGGCACTATCAGATAGATGGCGGTTTTCAAGAACACACCAAACAGTTCTCATCAAATGCGGTGGCGAAATACAAATCAGATGCAATATATTTCACGCATTGTGCGGTCAATGAGAGAATAACGGTATAATATTAGTTATAGACGATTATTTGTTCAGCTGACACATTTCTGACACTGTTGAGCAGGTCCCCTGACTGACAAGAATGAAGACAAAGCATTGACATTTACCCCGGCTTCAAACAATAAACGCCTAGCTATCTGTGGCAAGATCTGTTTGAAGCAAGGTAGTATCTACTTCAAGATTAGAGAGTTGAAGTAATCACTGTACGTAGACCTCCATGTAGACGTTAACGTACGTACGTACGTAATAATACATTTTGTTTTCGGTTTGTATTGGTCATTTTTGGTTGTGTGTTTAGATTCGAACATTTATTCCTGTCAAAATTAGAGGACTCCTTGATGCAGAACTCGTTGGTGATCTCGAATTTGATAATTTTGGCTCATCGGCATATTTCGAGTATAGTTTGGTAAACGTACGTTGATATTTAAGGTATACGGTATACGTGAGAGAACGTGAGATAACGTACACCCGTAAGCCCACTAACAACGCAAACGTGAAGAATTGGAAAATGCGCATGCGTAGCTGTCAATTTCTACGTTAACGTTAACGTTCATGACAACACGTCAACTCTCTATTATTTTTCCCACAATGTATACTATCACATACAGGGTGTTCGGAAATTATGCGCAAAAAATCAAGAAGTTGATTCTGCATGAGATAACATGAAATTTATTCCATATATACGTGGGTCCGGATATGGATAATTCTCAAGATACAGTGTGTTGAACTTTTTAGAAAAAAATCGGTTTTTTATGAATATCTCAAAAAATACCCTTCCACCGATTCTTTTGAAATTTGGCAATGATATTTTTTGTCGTGGGGGGCTGATTCAATCAACATTGAATTGGAATTGTGAAATCCAGTGGCGTCCCGGGGGCACCCTACCGAATATTATTGTCAATAAAATGTGCACCACTGATTTTTTTAAATTCTATATCTTCATATCCTAAAGAATAACTGTAAATACAACATTTTGATCTCTTGAATTGTTCTGCTATTTTGCTGCGTTTCCGTGGAAAAAAATGAATACAAATTCATTGTATAAATTTGAGCAAAACATTGCTTCAAAAACAGGGGTGAAATAAAATGTGTGATCCATTTCCATAGACGTAGGATAGGAATGACGATTCATTTTCTTCAAATATTCATTCATGTTTGACACACTTCGTATGATCGAAAATTACACGTTCCTGGACCGAGCATACATAGTTCTCAATATACAGAATGTAGAGTGTGTCAAACATGTATCAACAAATATTTGAACAAGATGAATCGTCATACTCATTCTATGTCTATGGACATTGATCACACACATTTTCACACCAATTTTTGAAGGAATTTTTTGGCACAAATCTATGCAATAAATTGGTATTTATTTATTTTTTTCCATGGAAATTAAGCAAATTATCAAATCAATTCAAGAGACCTAAATGTTGTATTTCTAGTTCAATAGGTTATGAAGTTACAAAATTCAGAAAAATCAGTGGCGCACATTTTATAGACAATAATATTCGGTAGGTTGCCCCCCGGGACGCCACTGGATGTCATAATTCTAATTGGATTATGGCTATATCAGAAATTGCATTTCCGGACCCACGTACATATGAACCGAATTTCTTATTTTATCATGTAGAATCACCCCCTTGATTTTTTGCGCATAATTTCCGGACACCCTGTATACAGGCTGATTCACGGTGGATGGCACATTAGACGTTTCTGGAGAACGCAACGTAGTATTATACTGAAAATTTGGTTTCTCGGATAATTATTTATGTTCTATTCACCTAAAATATTCTCAACTCTGCGACATAGCCGCTTATATCGAAAAGTAGCAACATCTTCGATTTTTTTAATGGGATATATTATTTCATTTTCAGATTTATCCTAAAGAGCTGATTTCATCGATCTACTACACTTGGGGTATAACGGGAATGATAACGAAGATATAGGGTTTGAAAAATCGAGATTTTTCAACTTTAAGAATTTTGTGTCGAAACTATTCATAACAGTTTTCATGTCCCTATCTTAAATTTTCACGTACTATCAATTGATATTTAATTGAAATAGATACAGGGTGGTTGAAAATCTTTCTGAACCACCCTGTACCTATTTCAATTAAATATCAATTGATAGTAAATAAAAAGTTGGGATAGGGACATGGAAACCGTTTTGACCAATAATTATGAATAGTTTGGACACAAAAAAATCTTGAAGTTGAAAAATCTCGATTTTTTACACCCTACAACTCTGTAATTGTCACTGCTAGACCCCAAGTGTTATGGGTCAATGAAATCAGCCCTTCAGGGAAAATCTGAAAATGGAATGATATACAAGGTGTCCCATTTAAAAAATCAAAGTTGTGGCTACTTTTCAATATAAGCGGCAACGTAGCAGCGCTGAGAATATTTTAGGTCGATAGAGCACAACTTATTATTAAAGGCATCAAATTTTCAGAATAATCCCAAGTTACGTTCTCCAGAAACTTCTAATGTGCCTTCCACTGTGAATCAGCCTGTATAACCTACACCAAAACAAATGAAAATAAAATCGAAAACTCACCGTATCGGCAGCTGTCAAATTGATTCCAAGACCTCCAGCTCTGGTGGAGAGTAAAAATACAAAAATATCAGTTCTAGCCTGAAAATCGGCTACCATATCTCTCCTTTCGGAGATCTTAGATGAGCCATCAAGTCTCATATATTTGTGATGCCTATGCCACATGTACTCCTAGAAAAAAACACAAATTATAACACTCAGAATAACTACAAACATTTTACAAATCATCTACCTCCAACAAATCTATCATCTTAGTCATCTGTGAATAGATCAATACTCGGTGCCCCTCTTCCTTTAACCGCCTCAATAATCCATCCAAAACTGACAGTTTCCCTGAATCAGTCACTAGCGTTTCCTTATCCGGTATTATTATGCTGGACCAACCTTTACTCGGTTTGATATCGTCATCGCAACTGTGAGGCTCAGGGTAAAAGGTCTCCGAAGATTTCACATTCAATTTGTGACCGGTTACCCTGGACCAGTAGTAGTTCATGGAATTGAAACTGTAATCATCGATGTGTCGCTTCAAGTCCCAAGCTGCCCTTCGGGAGTAACAGTATAGACCTAGTGGGGCAGTGGATACCTGAGAAACAGTGACACAATAAGCACTTTCCTGATGCGAATTGTGTACAATAGTTTTCCCATAATCCAAGACCGAAGGATTCCCAAAAAAAAAATTGTTAGACTCATACTCATTGAGGTTTTTCGAAACCGCTTCCATAAACAGAAAGATATTAACAGTACCTTCTCTATCAACATTTGAAAATGTAATATGTTTGTCAGGAATAATGCAGAGAATTTCAAGAATGCATCTGAACATGAGCATAATGACAAATGAAATGATAATCTATTACGATTCCCACAGAACAAGATGAAATTCTACCCTATAAAGTCAGATGTATCGGTAGTGATAATATATTCCGCGATGAAGTCGAAATCTTTCTAATACAGAAACATATTATAACTATCAAGAATACATGAAGCAAGTCTAAGGATATATCTATTATAACATAAAGAATAGGACAACAAAATGAAATGTGATGATGTGATAATATTCCCATGAAGAAAAGTTGAATCAGTCACGTCAAAAGTCATAATATTAGATAGGTGTGATATTGCCAATATTAACCAATCAAAGCGAAGGTCAACGCTTTCCTATGATTCACTACGCTGTATTCTTAGTTGGAATGGACTATAGTGGCAAAATTTGAAGCGGCCTATGTATGGTACTTGCCAGCTCAGTTCACGACATTCACGTCAAAGTATCGTCGAACTTGAAGTTTCATACCCATCAGACAGCTTCCAAATTGAGCCACTATTTAATATCTTCTGCCCAGAGTGTGAATTTACGATGTCATGTAATATGCACTATACACTACACTAGGTGTGATATTGCTAATATTAACCAATCAAAGCGAAGGTCAACGCTTTCCTATGATTTCCTACGCTGTATTCTTAGTTGGAATGGACTATAGTGGCAAAATTTGAAGCGGCCTATGTATGGTACTTGCCAGCTAAGTTCACGACATTCACGACAAAGTATCGTCGAACTTGAAGTTTAATACCCATCAGACAGTTTTCAAATTGAACCACCATTATTTTATATTTTCTGCACAGAGTGTGAATTTACGATGTCATGTAATATGCACTACACACTACACTATGAATCAGCTAATTTGTGGTACAGCTGCACCAAAAAATATGGAAGGAATAAAAAAATAATTAAGGAGGGAGAGTGCATTTTGTAACTCAAGTTCCAAGATTTGATGTAACTGGTATCCATGGCAAACATAACCACACATGTATGTTGACTCTATTTTTTCATCACGATTTCATTCATTTCATAGATGGGGTTGGTATGCACTTCTCAAAGAAATACTCAAATACAGTTCAAATTACAGGGAATGTAACACTTTATATTGTGAAAGAAAGAACATACTTACTCTTGGCATATTATACATGAGAAAAGAGGGAATTTCAGTTCTAACGCATTCAAACTGACATGCTGGTCTCCTCAGATGAGGAAAATCGTTTCCTAAGAAACTGTGTAGGGGTTTCTGCAAAAAAGAATTGTAGCTTGGTGACCAAAACTAAAATCACAAATTATCATTCCATTCAATAGAATTCTACCATATGATTAATAAACAAATCAAATTAATTGCTATTATTTATTCAACTCACCACTCCATCATCACTGACTACATCTATAACGGACAAATCATCCACGAGATAATCTCTATGTTTCATCCTGATATTTTTATGTTCAACGGTTTCTGGCATGGAATGATAAAAATGATCCGTGTGAGTATAGAAAACTCTGCTCCCTTTGCTATGTCTAGTGAAAACTAGATCACTCAGTACTTCACTGTTTTCAATTTGTGGTACAGATAACCTAAATGTGTGCTGCAATCTGACAGTAGGATTGAAAGATGAGCGTGGGTGCCACAGATGTTTATGGTAAAGTATTTTATCACGATTTTTCATTTCAAAATAATTGTGCCACCTGGAAAATAATGGTGGTTGAATATAAAGACTAAATGGCATTCTCAATACTGTACCTATGTATAATGTCACCTTGAAAAATTTTATAGATATCACAAAATGACAAGTTCAGTCCAATGAAGAAATTAAATATTGAATTTTCGAAATCATCCTTGATTTCATGGGCTAGGTAGTCTGGATTGAATATAAAAAAATTGTTTATGATAGAAAACGCTTTCCTGACATTGAAATCATAAACTAAATAGGGGATAGTGTATTGCACAGATGTAACTCTAATTGGTGACTTTGCATCTCTTCTTTCAAACAACTCAGGATGATTACAAACCTTGAAAAAAAAAACAATATTATAATACTGAATTGGAAGTTTCACATTGATCACAAATTGGAATAAATGACCAGATGGAAAATTGAAGTCCATGATATTAAGATTACTGTGATATTTTATCAGCAATAATTAACGAACATCTAACTCACCTTCCTAAATTGCATAACTAAATTCATTAAATTTGATGTGAAATTCTTATCCACTGTGTGTGAGTCTCCACCCCCAACAGTATAATGCAACAAATCCTCAATTTTAATTTTTTGCTTCAGTGCTTGATACAACAAATTCTGTCTAGCTGTCAAAGGGCAATAAACCATCACTTCAATTTTGTCTGACAGTTCATTTTCCACATCTTTCTTTATTCTCCTTAACATGAAGGGTTTCAAGATCATATGAAGCCTCGAAAGATGTTCTAAAAAAAATTTCAAACATATTGAAAGTCCGGGAAATATACATGAAAAAGTGAACTCAACCTCGGAACCATGTTTAAATCTCAGTCCAGTCGGCTATTATAAAAGGTGGTTCAGGGTTGATTTCTAGATGAAAAGAATTTTTTTTCTCCACATACATGTGCAATAACTTCGTTTTCGAGATACAGCCAGAAGTGATTATTGAAAAAACGATATTTTTCTAATAACTCTGATACTCTGTATCTTGAAAATCAAGTTGGGACATGATTATAGGAAAAAATATAATTTTCATCTAATACATATTGATCCATATCGTTTGACGGTTCAACCCAGGTCAACCCTATACAGGGTGTTCAGAAATTTGACAGACAATGCTTCACAGATGAAAACCATGATTTGACGGAGAAGTAAATAGGAACATTTTCTAGAAATAAGTTGAAAACGCCAGAAAGCGCTGTCGGACGAATTTTGCAACACCCTGTATAATGGGGAAGTTTTGTTCTGGTGAATTGGTTTTATACTGAGCAGCTTTGGCTTTATGTATGATTTGAATCATTTTTATTTTCCAACTAGAGCAATTAAACATTTTTCAGGCGGCAACCGCTGACATAATCAATGAATCTAGTATGATTATAGGTACCTATGATAAGTTTTCCATTAGTAATTAAACATCTGAATACGCTGGAACTCAGTATGAATGAAAAGTCAGAAGAATGTAAAACCTTTTTTGTCATAAATTCAGATAACTCCCATTACCTATATCAATAACAATCAAAAAATGAATGAAGGAGTACTAGGAAAACAGTGCATGTATATACTAGATCATGAATAAATTTATAAACAGATAACAATATGAACATAACCTCAGATTTTATCTACATAGGTCTTGGAAACAATAATGATCAAATAATCGACTTCAAAATCTTTTGATTTCAAAGCTATAATTTCAGTAAGACATAAATTTCAAGATTCACCAAGTATTGAAGCTATTCTGATCACCCTAGAAAAACTAAATGGAGAAATGAAAATGCAAATATAGGAAACTTCCCCATTCAATACAATAATAATCAGCCACAAAAAAATGTTTTTTAAATCTTCAACAGATGTGTTTGTCCTTACTTTCATCAATTCCAGTTTTATTTTCTGCATGATTCTCAATGTCTTTAGAGAACCATTCATTGAACTCCTCATGGGAATCAAATAATGTTGGCATGATGAAATGCAGCAGAGCCCATAGCTCTGCCATACTATTTTGTATTGGAGTACCACTGAGCAACAATCTATTTCGACAACTGAAACCCAGCAATGTCTTCCATCTCATTGAGCTTGTACTTTTGATGGCCTGTGCCTCATCCAGAATCATATACTGCCACTTTATCCTATTGAAATACTTGATGTCAGTTATAACAATTTGATAAGATGTCACCACAATATGAAAGCTGGCATCTTTGGTGTAAATGTCTTTCTGATCCCAAAATTGCCTAAGGATCTTCCTTTCGTTCGGATTTCCCCAATAAGGAACCACCTTGAAGTCCGGGACGAATTTTGCTATTTCTTGTTGCCAGTTATGAAGGGTTGATGCTGGAGATATTATCAAAAAGGGGCCCCAAACAGCTACCAACATATATTATTATGAATAATGAGATATAAATAACTGCAATTGAAACTGAAACGTTAATAGGATTAATCGCACTTTTCAAAAAAATGTGAAAAAACTGTATACAGACTGCATGGTAAATGGAGGTATAAAAACATTGAAGGGAATTTTGAAGTGGACTTATGATTATCATAGTTAAAAATATAATTAATATGCCATTATGTAGACAATCTCACATAAAGGGTTCTCATTTATTTTAATTTATTTGATCTTTCTGAACATAGTGAAAAATGATATTTAATTTATCATCATTGAAACCACAGGGTGTTTTGCTCAAAAAATTTAAAAAGTAATAATTAATTGGTTGTGCAGTTTTTGAGAAAATATATAATATTTTAAATTGATGACATTTCTCATAAATTTCAAGAAATGCTACTATTACTTATTACATACACAACCATTGGCATGAATATCAGAGCTACATTGGTTGATGTGTTTTTCTACTTTTTTCTACAAAAAATACGTTTTATAACCTGTAAATCTGGCCAGAGTTGAATTAAGAATTATATGAATAATAAATTGATGAATAATTGTTCAAGTTGTCAGATGTTTCATTTCAATTGCAGCATTTCATTTGACAAAGAAAACTAAAAAAAAGTACTTACAGTATTTTTCTGCTATGTGACATAAAAATGCAATACTTTGTACAGTTTTTCCTAATCCCATTTCATCAGCCAAAATTCCACTGATTCCTTGGGAATATAAATTGGCCAACCAGTTCATACCTCTCAATTGGTACCCCTTCAACTTCCCACGGAATTTGTCAGGTTGGGGCTGTTCCCCATCTAATGACACAAACTCATCCAGACATGAACTGGCCTGAGCATCAAAATGACGTGTCCTTGACTTTTCACTATTGAATGCATCTAGTGCATTTTTCTTAGCAGCTTCCTTCATTAATTCACTAGAAAATAGATTATCGTTCATTATTTATACAGTTAACAAATACATACTTTTAGAAAAATATTTAGCTCAATTTGAAATTAATTCATGGACTCACTGTATACATACCTATCATAAGTATCACAACTTAGCTTGGTGGAACTCTCCTCATCTAACTGACTCAATATGCGCAACTGCTCTTCAGGTGAGGCTTGTCCTAATTTTTTTGACATGAAATGAGCATAGAGCTCTGTTTGAGTGATTAGAAAGTTCAATTTTCTTTGCTGACGTTTGGCCTCAATCAGTTCATGATCAATTTTCCTTTGCTCTTCAGCTTCCTTTTCCAATCTCTTTTTTACTTCTCTGTCAAACCTCCTGGATCGTTTCCAATAGGCAATGTTTTCTCTGGATAATCTTTTCATTCTCCATTGCTGTTCCTTTACTGTTCTAGCACTTTGTAACTGAGAAAAGAGAATTAGAAAGGAGAATAAATTTCCAATCTGAGTCAAATATTATGGAGAAGTCTTCTGAATTTACAAAAGAAAAACCATTGTTTCTTCAGATGAAAAATTATTTGTAAACCTCTTCAAATCATTCAAAAAAGCCAAACATGAGCTGCTTTGAGAAGTGCAAATAACTTTCTTTTACATTTACAATTTAGTTTTCATTATTTCTGAACTATATTGGAAGAGTTTAAAGTGAAATAAGATCAAAATCTTAGTAGTGCTGGATTTGATGCATTCTCTGAACAAAGCAATTTTTTTCAAGAAAATTCACTGATTTCAGTCTTTTTGAAACAATGAGGCATACAATCTCTACAGACCACATCACTAAAACTCACAAGGAAATTTAGAATCTGAATATTGTTAACACAGAGGTTCTTTTTTTTTTTCAAGGATATGAATATTTTCTTTCTGTTCCTTAATGCTCTTTTCTATGCACCTGATTATCAAACTTTGCTGTATTATATATTTGATTTTCTGATGTTCACTAGCATGAATTAAAAAATTTGTAATTCCCTTTATATTATACAGAATATAAATTTTCAAAAAATTTTCAAACAATACAGAAATATACATACTGCTTTCTGTCTTGCATATTTCACACAATGTGATGCTATTCTTTTACACTGTAGAAGCATTTCTTTGTGCTTATTTGTTTTAGACCTATGTTGTTTGCCAATCTCCTTTTTAACAATATTTGTAAACAGTTTTCTTCTTTTCATAGTCATCATATCTTCCCATTTTCTTCTTGATTCCTCATCCTTGAATTTCTTTGCTTTCCTTTTGGGAGCAGAGACTATATTTTGTGTTACTGGCAAAGAATGTGTTGGTATAGGAATACTATATTCTGAATTCATGTTAGAATCTTCCATATCTTCCATACTTTGAAATTCTATTGTGTTTTGAAGATTCAAATCTAAACAGGGTTCATCCTGAAAAAATATGAATAATGGCAACTAGGGGAGACTACTATAATTATAAACTCACTGAAATATCATCCAATATCTCTGGATGGTAAAGTGGAGACTTAGATGTGTCTTCATGTTTTAATACTTTGCGTTTTAATTGAACAGGGAGATTTTTTTCTATTTCAGGATAGTGGTCTACTGCACTTACAAGACCTGCTCCATAGAACATATAGTTTTCATATTTCTGTAAAAACATTGATGAAGAAGCAGAATTGAATATATTCAAACATACCTCTTTAGATTTTCTTAGATATTTTTGATAAGAATGCATACGGATAATATTCTTGTACTGAACATCCTCTGGTGTAGAATCAGAATTTTCTTGTAATACATCAGCTAACCACTTACGTCTGGAGGAAACATTTTTCAGATTGTAATAATCTTTTGGAGAGTGTGGTTCATCTGAAAATTTGTGTAATAGTTCAACAGTGTACTCATGAAGACAGGTCAAATATACCTCTCAAGATGTTATCTAAATTTACATCATCCATCTCCTGTCCCTCATTACCATCAGACTCATCAGAATCACTACTAGGGTCCAACTGATTGTTGATATTTTGCAGGAACATATTGAGATCTAGGGCTTGTTCTACTCTGCGAACATGTATGGGCTTTGCTGTACATGGTTTATTTTTTTTATCTACATAAACATCACCACCTAAAAGACCATAATTTATTTATATATTAGGAATAGTGTATGAGCAATATACTCACTAGGCAATACTTTGTATGTTTTATCACTACTATTCCTCATGACAGTCGAGATATCACGTATCCTGAACCTAAAAAAGCGTAATTGAATTAATTGTTCATCTTTTTTCTCTCCTGCAAATGTTTAATCTGATAATCTTTAATTCAAGTTTTTTTTTATTTTTAATTTTAACCTCAATGTTTTAGAAACCATGAAACCAGAAAACATACTTTGGAGAAGTGAAGTGATCCTCAAAGATCAACAGCCAAACAAAAAAGAAGAGTTTGTAGGTTGTCATCTGTCATCGTTGTCATTGATGACATGACATGATTGACATAAGACGGTTAAAGCTTTGTTTTCATGATAACGTTTTGCGTCGTGCGTCTTGCGTTGCCTCGTTCTGATTGGCTATTTCAAATGACGCAAATTCCATGAAATTTGTTATAATTTTCATTCATGCGTCCGCTTCCAGATTTTGACAGGTTGAATTTGAAACCATCTCGAATCAAATATTCGAAATTTATTATAGGTTTCCAATAATTATTGCCAGAAATGGTTGTAATTTGACAATTGCAGTGTTAAAATATTCATTTTCCATAAATATATACGAAATGGATGAACAAAATTGGCGAAGAGAAAAATACTAATTTTTTTGTATTTGAGAAGAAAAAAACGTACCTACCGGAAAAAAAAAACAATTTTTGGTGAGACCTATATTCCAAAATAGAAAAAGATTAGGAGCATTTCAAACCTTGATTAGAGAGCTTGCTGACCAGGACTCTGAATGCTATTTCAATTTCTTCAGGTACAATGGTATTCTATAGTAGTCACTTACTCTTCCATATTTCAATAAACCATTAAAAACCCAAGTAAGTACACTGTGAATAGTCTGAATTTTATTAAATTCAAATTTTCTTGAATCTGTGCTCTTCCTGTTTTGGGTGATTGGGAACACCTAAAACATAACCTACAAGAGTAGAGGTTCTCTATCCCACATTTCTCGCGTTCGACGCAAAGAAGTTAAATATTTTTAACTTCATTTCTACTAAATAATGCGTCAGTCAAAATAGCCAATCAGAATGAGGCAACGCAAGACGCACGACGCAAAACGTTGTCATGAAAACAAAGCTTAAGTTTGACTGATAATAGGTTTGTTCTCGTTCGAAAAATAAACAGTCCCAAACCATCGGAAGCATGCGCAGTTCCACGGAACATGAAAAATACTGATAGTTCTGTGAAACTGCGCATGCTCCTGATTCTCTCCATCCTTCTCCTGATGGTTTGGGACTGTTTTAATTTTCGAACGAGAACAAACCTAAAGATAAGATGTGATAGTGTTTTCGAATGCTAAAAAATAATCAAAATCCAAGCAGAAATGATGATTATTGTGGATGACTTATTTTAGACATCAATGCATGCAAATACCGTGAAATCAATCGTGGTTCAATTAATAATTTTGTATTGAAAAGTATAGTTCTCTGAACATAACAAATATGTCGGAAAAATTGAAGGTAAAGAGGGTCTGCTCTACACTATACAGAATAATATTTATGTCCACTTTTCCAGAATATACCAGAGCAAAAATTGAAAGCCTTTTCTATCGGCATAATGGGCAAGAGAAACTTATCAAAGAAAGAACTGGAAGAGCAAAGAAAACGTGAGGAGGAAAAAGCTGCTGCACATGTGAGTACCTATACAATATGATATATTTATTATTACCTTATCCTCTATTTCTTAGGTTTTTCAAGAGTTTGTTGAAACTTTCCAAGATGCTCCAATCAATGGAAGCTCCAAAGTTTGGGTTAAAGCAGGAACTTATGATGCAGGAGCTAGAAGTAAGACATATTCTCATTTTTTATCTAGCTGAAGTAGTAATGTTCAAATTGTTATAGAGGAAGATACAAGGGAAAAAGGTAAACTGTACAAACCTACTTCTAAGATAGCTCCAACACAGGAATTGATGACTTCTGCTGAACGTGCACAAGCTTATGCAAAATTACTTTCTTCTGATAAAAAACCAGAAAGATTAGGAAAAAAGAAACCATCTACAAAGAGTAACTTAGAGGCTTTCATGGAAGAACTCAGACAGTAAGTCATTGATATGTTTAAGAAATCACAAGCCTAGATGATATTCCTAAAATTGATTTGTAGGATTCAAGAAGAAAGAGAAGAAAGACACAAATATAAAGGAGCAATTAGAACCCCAATAGAAAATGAACTGGATTTGTTTATGAGAAGTGGTGATATTGGATCTTTTGATAATGGGGACCCAAACACCACAAATTTGTATTTAGGAAATCTTAATCCAAAGGTAAATGCTGACAATCATCTATTCAGCAGTATCTTTAAAAATCTTTCTTTTCACAGATTACAGAACAACAGTTATTAGAGTTATTTGGTAGGTTTGGGCCCCTGGCTAGCATCAAAATAATGTGGCCAAGATCTGATGAAGAAAAGGCAAGAGGTCGCAACTGTGGCTTTGTTGCTTATATGGCACGTAAGGATGGTGAGAGGGCATTGAAAAACTTGAATGGAAAGGACATACATGGCTATGAAATGAAACTTGGTTGGGGCAAAGCAGTAATAATTCCTCCACATCCAATATACATTCCACCATCCTTGCTTGATTTAGCTCAACCTCCTCCACCTTCTGGACTACCCTTTAATGCTCAGCCTGCTCTTAAAGACAAAGATGTGCTACCCAAATCACAGGAAGAGCTGAATGAGATTCTGTCCAGAGCTCTGGTTAAAATTGTCATACCAACTGATAGAAACTTGTTAATGCTCATCCACAGAATGGTTGAATTTGTTGTCAGGGAAGGTCCAATGTTTGAAGCCATGATAATGAATAGAGAATTGAATAACCCACAATTTAGGTGAGAGGGAAACCAATTTAAAGTTTTGCTTTGCAAATGGAGTTCATGTTATGTTAACATATTATAATTCATAGGTTTTTGTTTGAAAACCAAGGCCCAGCTCACACATACTACAGGTGGAAAGTATATTCTATCTTGCATGGTGATTCACAAAAAGAATGGAATACCATGGAGTTCAGAATGTTCATTGGTAAGGGTATCATACAGAAAAAACACAACAACCTATCATGCAATAAATTATTGATAATTCAATAGGTGGATCAATATGGAAACCTCCTATCATGAATTGTTACACAGCTGGTATGCCTGAAGAACTAGTGAGAGAGGATGAAGCAAAAGAAAACTCTAAGGGAACATTATCAAATTCGTATGTACTAAAACATTTGTGCTGAATTCCAAGTGTAAGTGTCTTTTTACTTTAGGCAACGTGATAGACTGGAAGATCTGATTCGTGGTTTGACTGCTGAAAAAACTAAAATTGGGGAGGTTATGGTATTCTGTATAGAACACAGTGAAGCTGCTGAAGAAATTGCAGAATGTATAACAGAGTCACTGTCAAATGATAATACAGCCTTGACCAAAAAAATTGCCAGGCTCTATTTGATATCTGATATTTTGCATAACTGTCAAGTGAAAGTTAATAAGGCTTCTTTCTTCAGAAAAGCGTGAGTAAAGACACAAAAAACACCATTTCTTTCAATTTCATCACATCAATTCAGGGTTCCCTGTGAATGAAGCAGTCAATACATGTTTGAAACCTTATCAGCATATTTTGACAAGTCAATGAGAAAAAATGTGATGCATTCACTGATATTTCTAGGTTCGAAAACAAATTACCTGAAATATTCAAGTACATAAAACAGACGTATGACAAACTGGAAGGTAGATTGCAAGCAGAAGGGTTCAAAGTCAGAATATTGAGGACTCTGAAAGCATGGGAGGATACCATCTATCCCAAGGACTTTATGAACAGATTACACAATATCTTCTTGGGTTTACAAGAGGTGATATTGACCAAGGTTGATGCTATTGTAAAAAATAATGTAACAAACATTTCAGGAAGAAAAACAGGAACCTAAAGAAATAGCAGAAGACATTGATGGAAATCCATTGGAAGCTCATGAATCTGATGAAGATGCACCAATGGATGGAGCAGCACTATTGAAATCGGCAATGCTGCAGTATGAGAGTGGGTCTGGTGATGAACTGGATATAGATGGTAAATTATCCATGCAGTTTCAAGAATTTGTCTAAGGAAAAGTCTTTGCAGGCCAAGAAATCAAAGATGACAGCAAAACTGATGGGGCACTTAGTGGATTCATAACTTCAAAGTGGGAAACAGTTGATCCAGAAAAAGTTGAAGCACAAGCCATGACCACTAGTAAATGGGATTTACTTGAAAATAGTCAAGATGCCAGCCATGAGAGCAGTGCAAATGAAAAAGAAGACCTTGCTGATTATTCAGATACAAGGTATTGACATAGATTTATCACCATGTAATAGTTTTTAGAACAAAATGTAACTTTTTTTTCCTCAAAATAGGCCAATAAGTCATCTCACTGACACTAGACACTTACTATATTTCTCATTTTGTATTCAGGAACTGATTGAATTTTCTCAGTGTAGATGTTGATCATTTTGTTTTTAGGAATATGACAGAAGAAAAGAGGCAAAAATTGAGAGAGATAGAAGTGAAGGCAGTACAGTATCAAGATGAATTGGAATCAGGACAAAGACAACTGAAAAGTGGTTGGACTTTGCCTCAACAAGTGGAGCACTACCGACGGAAATTACTCAGAAAATCGGAGAAGGAGAAGAAAGAGAAAGGCGAAAAAACACCAAAGCCTGAGAAACATAAGAAGGACTATGAAAAGAGTGAGAGAAAAACTGTTGCAGATAGCTCAGATGATGAATCATACTACAAAGAGCTGTAAGTAAAGTGTTTGTTTCCTATATTTATTTTTTGTTATGATCAAAATATTATGAATTCAATGTATCTATGATGATATTTTCTGAGAAAACACACATTCAGTTTGTTTCTGTTCTTGTATACTTCATTCAATTGGAATTGTTGGTAGCTTAAGCCTATCTTACTAATTATTGGTTTTGTAGTACTTCTAGGAAAACTAAAAAACATGCCAGAAGTTCGTCAACCAGCTCATCAACAAAGCACAGGTAATCATAACTTTTTTCTGTTTTTTATGAGATTATATATTGAATTTGTGAAAATTTGTACTGGCCACAAATTCTGAGAACTTGATGAATATAAGCATGCATTTACCTACCTGAGGTATATTTTGGCAAAACAGGTAGAACATTGAACCACCCTATTCACAAACATCAAATGAGTTGGGGTTTATGAAAATCAACTATTTTGACGATAACCATGCAATTTCACAAACAGAAAATGAATTGAAGTAATTGTCTGATCATCAGAAACTCAGGAATGTAAATTTGTTATGTAAATACCATCTAGGTATTGGCTATTCAATTCCAATAACCTGTCCTTATGAAGGATGTCCCAACAAGAGCGTCGGATTTAAATTAGCTGCCATTTTGTATGGTGATATTAAACGGCGAGCTCGCATTATGGGCTTGTAAGTTTTCAGAGCTTTTTGTATGGGAGGGTGATGTGATTTTTGTTTTACAGTTGTCAACATACAGATTATTTGGGACTAAATTCACGCTGATGGACTCAAATTTTGTTATTAAACGCCTCACTGTCGATTCCTTTGGCGCATTATTGTGACCGGAAATTTGACGTAATTAGCCACATTCTATTTGACTGTCACCGGAGCTACTCCAGAGCATGAAAAATAGGCAGGAACGCGTTCTTTCTGTTAGTGCTTGAAGCCCCGGTGCTTCACCGTGCTATACCATCTACCTTCTCCTACCCCTCTGTCACTGTCAAATGACAAGCTATTTTTGGTTATTTACGAAGATTTTTTTCTATTTTCATGTATCAGGATAGTTCAACTCACGATAATTATAATATGCTGGTCTTCAGAATCAGACATTATCAACATAGATTGGCTATATTTCAATATTTCCAAAAGGTGAACGATAATAAGAGCAAAAGGGCGTTCATTGTAAAAATTCACTAAAATGCGTTGGGAGTAGCTCAAGTGCAACAAACACTGGGCTGCTCAGGTGCATGATACATCAAAAAGAAAGTGGCTATATATCGGCGAACTGTTTTGCAAAACTCACCATTTTTGTAATGTGTTGGATCGCGTGATCTACGTGACAACTGTAAAAAAAAATCACCAATGGCGACAAATATAAATCTGGCACTCTTATTATTGGGACCCTTTATTAGTAGTAAGCTTGTATACACGCACGTATCACCTACATAAGTTAGGCTATGTGGCTAATTCCCAGCCGCAGAGTCGCCAAAATATGTTCATACCGACTATCTAAATTTGTCGACCCGGATTTCAGGTCTAAAAGCCGTTCTCCGTCTCGCAAGAAGACCAGAGCTTTGAGTCCGCCGAGTCCCCCACGAATCAGGAAGCATTCTCCTGTCGTTTCGTCATCCCGCTCCTCCAGGAAGAACAAAGACTCCCTTTCCCCCACCGGTTCGAATGGTAAATATTCCTCCCCAGTGAGGAGGCACAAGGCGACCCCTTCTCCTCCCAGGAAGCACAGCCGCAAGTCCCCTTCACCTAGAAGTAGACAGTCCAGTCCTCCCTCTACCAGGTCGTCTAGGTACCACTCCCCAGAACCGCCAAGGAAACACAGGCACAAACACAAATACTGATGGGGTTAGTATCTTTTCATCGTCTGGTACAGATTCAGTATAGTTTAATGATTTATTTTATTAAAATACTTTGATTATATATGGACTTAGAAATATTTATTCCTTTTTTTGGAAGTATATTTTTTTGTTTTCGTTGTAAATAGTTGTGTGTGTTATTTGAATTATTTCCATAGTCACAATAAACAGGATATTGTACTTTGTGTTATGTTATGAATTTTTCAATTGAAAAATGGATACTTTCGAAATTAATTTTTATGAGAATCTAATTCTGTATTCTTGTTGATGATAGAGAAGTTTCCTATATATATTTTTAGTTCTCCTTGAAGTTGATGAAAAATCGTTATTTTTCATTTTCTCAATAGGTTAAGAATTCACTTCAGAAAATAAAAACAAAGAAATAGTTTCCCCTCCTTCACCATTCTGCTGACTTTATATCGCGACTGCGACGCTGCCGTTTCCATTTATATGCTTGCATAATTTAAAAAATTCTGCATATATTGTGTATCGACTGCATTCAGACTTTATTTATATGTTGGCTACATTATATGGAATGATATTTGTTATCATTGTTGAAGACCCGGAATATGCGCTGTTTCCGTTTTGTTCATATTCGTGATATTAATCAAGTTGTTGTGATTCATGTTGAATTTTATCTCTATAGACTTATTAGTTCCTAATATTCTCTGATACCACTGATGGTAAGCAAACAAGCTCTAAATTCATTTTCATTATTTTTCAGGATATAGTCGTAATTATTATGTGTAAGCCTTCTGGAAAAGTGAAACTTAGATTTTTTTTCTGTTTTCAGTTCGGGCTTGTCCGGAGATTTGTATCTCACAGTCGAAAATATTACTTAATTGCTCTATTTCCAGAATAGAAATATTTGAATTGTCATTATGAATTGCAGAAGCACAATGCTTATCAGTGTGAAACTACTTTGATGTAAATTGGTTTCCCATTTTTGTCCAGTCCAGTCTTTGCAGTTTTGTGACAAGAATTTGGTAACCGATAAACACACATAGAAAAGAAAGTTCCTGTAATCATTGGTCAGAGAAAATAAATCTTTATCTAAAAACAGGGCGTTAAAGGTATAAATCGAGATGTATTTTTCCATAGTTACTGGAAAAACTTTGAAAATTGGCAGACCATTTGTACACAATGAAACTGAGCAAGTTTCATCGCTTCAGCCGGTTGAAGATTGGAAATTTCATACAACATATCCCAAATCTCTGACGATGTCATTCAATTTTAAACTAGCTATAATTCAAGCATGTGCTGAAGTAATTTACCCGTTGATTCACTCATGTATTGTGAATTGAATACATAACTCAATCATCTCCAATCATAGAAACCATCAATTTTTGCCAAAGTGGTCCTCGTATATTAGAAAATAAGGCAGATCTAGTTAGTCGATCACAGAAAATACTATAATTATTGTGTTACTAGTTTTGACCCTCAACCAACATCAGACACAATATACCAGGAATTGTATCTCAAAAGCGTATGCTGAAACCGAGAAAAATCAGTTATATGAATCAGCGGTCTGAAAATCTCATAAGTGTTCATTTTTCGAGTTTCTTTTGATCTTCTCCTAAAGATGCTAACATAGTTCGCGAAACACGTGTCGAGGCGTTTAAAAATTCAGTTTGCCTTATTTCAACTCATTCCTTTGAGGCACAATTACTCACATCATTTTTTTGTGTCTAATATTGGACGTGAGCCGAAACAAGTAACACTCTAATAATTTTTGTGTCAACCAATTTGGTGTTTTATTTTCTTCAGTAATGTGAACAAATTAACATTTCCAATTTTCTATTTGTATCAATTCTTAATCAAAATAATGAAAAAAATAAATTCCTAACAATTTTATTGAACAAAAAACTCAGCAATTATAATTAGTAATCTAGCCAACTCAGAATATAAATAAATAGAACAAAGGGCCCTTGAAATCACACTCGAGCCAAAAACTGTCAGTACAATAATGGGATCATTGGCGACCACAGAAGGCGATCAGACACACAAATTACTTTTTTGGTTTCGTCGCTTTCTTCGTTCCCCCACTACTCTTCCTGGGTGGTGGGGTAGGTCCAGACGATGTCTGTTGAGTAACAGGAGGAGGCGTAGCAGGAACTGTCGTTTCAACCTTCAGCGCCTCGTTTGCAACTTTTTCTTGCTCAGGTTGTGGTGAATCAGGACTAGCAGGAGGACTAGGGCCCGTAACCTGCGCGTGCGGCTTCTGCGCATGCGCAATCGGTACTTTGGGGGCAGCAGGTTGTCCCGTAGCAGGAACGGCCGTTTCAACCTTCAGCGCCCCTTTAGCCACCTTCCCTTGTTCAGGTTGCGGCGATTCGGGACTGGCAGGAGGACTAGGGCCCGTAACCTGGGCGGGCTGCGTCTGCGCAATCGGTACCTTGGGAGCAGAAGCAGGTTGTCCCGTTGCAGGAACGATCGTTTCACCCTTCAGCGCCTCTTTTGCCACCTTCCCTTTTTCAATTTGCGGCGCTTCGGGACTGGCAGGACTATGGGCGGTAACCTGGGCTTGCAGCGTCTGTACCTTGGGAGCAGCAGGTTGTCCCGTGGTTTCCGAGGTCGCGGTAACTGGAATGACAGGCACGTCCACGTTCTTGACAGGTTTCCTCATTGGACAAACTGCTTTCGTTGGTGGAGGCACAGGTGTTTCTGAAGTCTGTACTGAGGGTTGGGGCTTTTCTGATGTGGGATCAGGACTGTCAGTAACGGGATATGTGGGTTGAGGAATTGCAGATACAGGAACAGTACTATCTACTGGTTCGGATGATGGTTGTGAAGGTTCTGTGGCCACAGGAGTTGCTGAAGTAGGACTTTCAGTTGCAGTTTGAGACTCCAGGGTAGGTGTTGAAAGCTGTGGAGGGAGTTTTGGAGATTCAAGAACTGGGGCTACTGGAATATCTGGAGCAGAACCCTTTGTGGCTGGTAGGGTGTCCAAAGTAGGAGGAGATGGTTGGGATGGTTCAGGAACTGGGGCCACAGGAAGTACTGGGGTAGCTGGTTGAGGTTCTGATGTAGGTGTATGTTCTGTCGGAACAGAAATGTCAGAGGTTAGTGTTTCAACTGGTTGACTTTGAGCAGGAGCCGTTTCGGTTACTTTAGCAAGTTCGACAACTGGTGCTGGGGTATCAGTGGCTTCAGCCTCAGTCTTTGATTCTACAGTGTCTTTGAGTTTAATTGCTTCCGCCTGTTCAATCTGTTTAGTTACAGTGATTCCACTGCATGCTTCTGGTTGTGGTGTTTCTGCTAATGGCAGTGGGGTAACCTGTTCTACCCCCTTTGTTTGTACAGGTTCGGCCTCTAGTACTTGTTTTATTGGTTGAATATCTGAACTAGCAACTCCCATTGATTGTTCGTCAGATTTGACTGAAACATTTCTGTTGTTCATTCTCTAGTGCAGATTTGTTGTTAATGGAGTTTCAAAGGTTCCAGCGTGCTTTTTAGTCCACCCATTTGTTAATAAGCATGTTTCAAAACGGATGTGATAATTTATTCAAGGATGATCATTATTGGGTATGATTGGGGTAGTTATTGCATAAAAAATATCTAAAAATACATTCTTTATTTCCAAAATAAATATAGGAAGCATTAAACTATTATATATTTAAAGCATTTTTCGTTATAATCGACCAATGCCGTTCAATGAGATTAATGATTGGAATGAAACTGAATAAAAAATTAATAGCCAATCGGTTCCATTCGAGTTAAATATGTTTATTTTTGCCTGGATTATTTTCTTTGCGCCTTCTTTGGTAACTCACCTTCGACTGGCAGATCCACCACTGGTTTTGACTCTACTGCTGGCGGAGATGGTTCTAGATTCCCAAATATTTCTTATCAATATATCAAAACTATTTTGAAAATGTAGCTGAGAAGCTTATATTAGTTAATGCTGAAGCAAAGTGATGTGCACTAGAAAAATTAGCTGTGACAGTGAAAGAGCTAATGACGAATTAAGGAAGCTAATAGGTGAGGAAGAAGAGACAGGAGCAGAAAAATCAATGAAAAACTATGAGGCAAACTCTTCAATCACACCTTTTGTGGCAGAAGGTTCTTCAGGCGCTGAGGACAGGGTTTGGCAGATTTTATTCCAGATATTCGCGAAGGAATCTCTTCCCAGGTAATCAATGTTTCCTACTTCCCAGCCTTGTCTCCTGAGGTGGTCATCTAAGGCTTGTTGTTCAGCAGTTCTTGGTGCTCCTAAAGTTAGTTTCGCGAATGCTCCAGCTAAACCAGCCTGCAAATACAGAAATTATCCATAAGTTCAAATTTTCTATTTCTAATAACTATATTTTATATTGAATTGTGTATTGAATTGAAGACGATGAACCATTCAACAAACTATTGCGTTGATAATAATAATTAGACTCAAAACTAGCTAATGAATAAATAAATAAAAGCTCACTTATTCATCAGTAGAAGCTAACACGTTTCACACATTCGTATACAGGGTGTACCATGACCTTGAAGATCTCAATTCTTAAATTCGAAAATTCACTTTATAAATTAGATTGAAATTAAAGAACCATCATATAGGTATCTGGATTTTGGCTAAGGTTTCTTTAATTTTAATTTGCTCGATTTTCACTCATCATTTTATCAATATTTGCCACCCCCATACAGTAAATCTCAACAAAATCGACTGCCTATTCTTTGGAGAACTTATTGGATGAATTGGTCAAAACCATATTATTTTATCACATGAAACTTTTAGGTTTTCTCAAAACAAACGGAGTTGCCCAAATAACTATACAATTTCCACGAAATTCAAACGTTTATCAATGGTCCAATGAAAATATAATTTTGGTTTGTGGTAAATTACTGATCAGCATATGCTGCGGTCAGATTCGACTGCCATTTAGTAAAGGCACAAACTGTATATTATATGGTTTTGCCGTGGGATCATGGTAGAACCTGTATACCCGTATCATTTCATTCCTTCTCGAATTTTATAACGATTCTGGCGAACCATTTGGTCTGACACCGGTATACTTACATTGCTTTCTTTGCTATCTTCTTTAGAGTCAGTTTGTAATGTCATTTCGTTGGACACTGTAGTAGTTGCCATACATTCGTCAGGCAGTTTAGGAGCGGGAGGATCATTGGTAGGGGGTGGCTTCGTGGGGAAAAGGTGTTCTGGTATAGGAACGATGGCAGGACTTTGCGGTTGACTATATACAGGATTGGGGTGATCATGATGATGATTATCAGCTTCGGTGCATGCATTTGTATTAAGAGATTCAATATGCTCTTTGTGTCCACTATGGCTTTGAATGCCATGATTCTGGACAGCATGTCTTTGAAAGTTGTGATGTTCAACGGAACCACTTTGAATGTTGTGATGTTCGACGGGATGATTTTGAATGTTGTGATGTTCAATGGGATGACTTTGAATGTTGTGATGTTCAACGGGGTGACTCTGAATGTTGTGATGTACAACAGGGTGACTCTGAATGTTGTGATGTACAACAGGGTGACTCTGAATGTTGTGATGTACAACGGGGTGACCTTGAATGTTGTGATGTTCTGTCGGATGATGAGTTTGAACTATTTCAATATTGATATGTTGATTGTCTGATATTTGACTAGGAATGTGATTTTCGTGGGAAATTTGACTGTGCGGTTGATGGTTATTCTGCTGTCTAGAGTCATATTCTTCCCACGGATCCCATACTTTTTGGTAGTCTTCCGCAGGACAAGAAGCAGTAGGAGTAGGACAGCTTTGGGAAGGACTCTGATAGGTACTGGACTGACTACCATGCACAGTGTCCGTATGGCTGGTCTGAATAAACAAGCATGCAAAAGAAAAATAGTTGAGTAAGTACTCAGTTAGTTATCAACTAAACAAATATTTGTTTAGATGAACAATAAAAAAACAAAAAAAGCGAAACAAATGCGTATCAAAACTCAAAATACAAAGGCGGCAGGTCTGCTGCATCATGCAACATGATTTCTCAAGTAGGCAATCAAGAAAGTTATAGGAATGGTGCAATTGTCATAATTTACAGGTTATAGGCAGGTATGATATGCTGATATCCATCAGGATATAATCTTGCATCAAAGAAGTTTCCTTATTGATTACAGAGCGTTTCTCTTTCTGATACCAAGATTTTGAGAGATGCAAAATCATTTGATTACTTTCAATATATTCATGTCTGGAACTTTCAATGACGAATAATTTGGAAATTATATTTCTATGATGAAATGAAAATTGGAAGCCAAAAACTGCAAACTTCAAATATATTGAAGGTTGAAATTACATTTTCAGAGATGAAAACGCTGGATCTCTTGGTATTAAAAACGGACACATATTATTAAATCATTATTGTCGATGTTTTGTAAAACCTGGTTGACAACAGCATACTTTGGATAAGAAAGGAAATGTCATAGAGGAAATTTAAAGCATATAGAATAAAAATACCTCCGGCACATTCCTAGATATATCATTTTTGATAGAATTAATCAAAATACCTACATTGGATTTTCATGAAAGGTAGAAAAGAATTCAAATAAACAATTGAAACAAGAAGACATATTTTGTAACGTCTTTCGATTAGATACGTAAATTCATTTATTATATTCAAATTCACGTGATTTTTCATGAATACCAGATATTTGCATATGCCAGATGTAGGAATTTAGGATTAAGTTGCTCAGTATCAAGAACTAGATAAGTGTATTGTTAGAAACAAAAAAAAATCAAGTTCGTTAACACAGGCTTTGGAAAAGAAACTCATTCAGATTTTAAGGGAGCATTATAAACTTCTTTTGTAACTCACCTCAGAATCAACTATTAAATCCTCATTAGGCTTGTAAATATTTGAAAAAAATGTCATAGTCATCACAAAACAATCCTAATTCTTCATGTTATGTTGGCAGTTTATCAGTATTCGTTTCATGTTTGTGAATTATATACCTCTGATTATATGATGGTTGAAAAAATAGTAGTATGGTTTCATCTTTTTAGATATAAAAAATCTTTTCATTGGTTACAAAAATAGATCACTATATACAGTACCGACATTTGTCAATGAGAGATTAGTTTCATTTAATGTGATGCAATAAAAAGTGCTTGTTATTTACAAAACTCTCTGACTCATTTTAGAATGATTAATTGAGAACTCACCTTCATTGATTCAACTTTGGAATCCTCTATAGGCTTGTAAATATTTCAAATGAACGTCTATTATAAAGGAAAACCACAGATGAAATATACATCAGTGTGTTCCACTTTGAGTAGTTACATCTCCGCAATTCGCAGTATATTATCATTATCATTCAATTTGTTATTAGTTCCAAACATCGAATCATAAATGATGACAAATAAATATTGTTCATGTTGCCAAATTTGTCTTAGAGTACCTTATGTGAAAAAAAGAGAATAATAGTAACGGAGTGGTATCTACTCAAAGGGGATCAGATTGTTTTCAAGTCATTTGAAAACCATGGCGAAAAATTGGAAAACGTTGAATAATTACCATTTCAGGTGATAGGTTAGGGTGGATGAGATTACAGAAAATATTCCACCAGAGTTGTAAGACTTCTTGCAGATGTTGCACTCCTTCAGCTGGGTGAACTTTTCTGGACTCGGTGTCGAAATATTGCAGCCATGGTTTCGATGATCCAATGAAATGGATGATTTTTGCACTTTTACCGAACCTAAAATTCCCCATTCATTTTAATGTAAAACAGACCGCCGTAACGTGTGGCTCACTTACTGTTTAAAGGCAGGAAGGTAAGAGTAGCATGCTGTCGAAGCCATGTTATAAATAAATGGTAAATGCTTGCTAATGTCTTTGTGTGCCCAATCGGAAAAGTATAAATTGAGGAGACCTTGATCACCGCCTAAAACGATAAATAATAGGGTAAATTACTGGGTAGCATTTTTCCCTAACAGAATGAAAGGCGGAATTTATGGTTTCAATTCGTATTAACTTTAGTATTTTCATAGTTTTCAATACTTTTTCATCATAATCCCATCTCTCAGATTCAGGAATTCAGTAAACAACGAAATAAAGAATGAAAATCATCGAATTATATTCCGACAAGCAGAGGTCGATTTTGAGTTCTGTGATTATTTCGAGGAAACACATTGGTCAATATTCCAATTTGCGAATTGCACCCACACAGTACCAACCATAAAATCCCCTCCGAGTAATCAGGTAAGAGGAGATGAATTCTGCTTTTTTCCTCGGGTATATGTAAATTCGGCCCCAAACTTTGTTTTATCTGATACTGCATAGGTAAATAGTTCTGTGAGGGGCTCAGTAAATAATGACATGAGAAAGGAGACTACCTTTCCCAAACAATCTGACCTAACTCGGCCTAATGTATTATATATGTATATAAGTAGGTTATAATATGAGGAAGGAAAATATCCTTCCTGCATTAGAAGGAGACTACTTTTTCTAAACAATCTGACCTAAATCGATTATGCAGGCAAGTATTGTAAAACCCTTAGCAATTGACATGGTTGGGACCGAATTCACCCACCGATAAAAGGGTATAAAATTCTTAATTTCCTTTATACATCAAATTCTAAGGACCTTTGTGGAACCGCTGCCAGAGATTGACAATACAAGAGAATTTTTTGGATAAAACAATATAAACTGAACAACTTTCATAACATTTCGATGAACTCATTAAAAAACAAGTGGTAGAGTCCGACCACGTTAACTTTGGGACAGCATATGCGTTGAGTCACGTGTGGTGTCCTAAAGTTACGTGGTCGGAATCTATATGATGTTGAATGTGGAAAATCAAAATAAGCTGAACTATTCTGCTATCACGTTGGTCAGTTGCCAATATCCTGCAAGAAAATGTAATTCACGATATCGTGGGACGTAAGTACCTATATTGTATATTAACCTAAAAACCCAAATAACCACATATTTTTCATATTTTTTCATGAGTCTGGACTCACCATCAAAACTTCCTTTTTCCAATGCGAACTGAATGAGTTTTTCGTAAGTCTCCATGGAAGGACGGAATACGAAAACGCCAGAATTGAAACAGTCTGGCCAACCAATATCTGGAGCTGCCGAAAATTCTTCCCTATCGAATAGTTCATCACAGTTTTCTAATACCTAAAATAATAGAATGGTCTAGTCAATCGATGAATCATTCCTTCATTCTTGCTTGCAAATCCGAGAGATGATATTGGGTTACCGATATATAACTGAATAAGCCAGACATTGACATTTCCACGCATGCTGCAAAACCTTCTGGTAATGGAAACAGATATTAATCTTTCTTTGAAAAAAAAATAATCGAAAGGATATTTTGATCTCTCAGGTTTCATGAATCATATTCCTGATATGATATCAGGTAGGTAATTTCTACTCTTTCGTTTTCTTAGTGAGCTGTAGGCATCTGAAGTGGTTTATACTAAACCATTATAGAGTTATCTCAAACGTGATTTATTTTTGGAAATATGATCCCTCTGCTGTTATTTCAAGGAGACAGGCGTCATTAACCCTTCAAAAAAAAAAGTGAAAACATACCAGCGTGTCTGCATCCAAAAATACACATTTATCGAACTGTGTAAGACGCCAACAATGTAGCTTTGTGAATGTAACACCTAACTCGGGTCTTTTCAGGAGACGAAGATTCGTTTCGTCTTTTGAATCTAGCAGATTTACTTCTATTACTACGTTGAATACTTCAGACAGTTTCGATCTGAAAAAGTAAACAGTGACAGTTCCTCAACCGTTTCACTCCCATACTTACTAGGGAAGAACAATTCCATAACTATGAAATACCTCGAAAAAATAGTTGTATAATTTTTTTTTCGAAATGAATATACAATATATGCCGGGTTTTCAAGTGGCTCACCACTATAACTTTCTTGTTTCTATACATAAACAAATGAAATTCGGTGTGTGAGTATAGTTCATAAATATGCACTATTTGACGTATTCAATTCATATTTTCTTATTTCAAATGGGACACCCGGTATATTTATACTTATTTCGATAAAGAATAAAATTTTTCATCCTCAAATTTTTCATTTTTCAATTTTCAATCTGAAGATAAAAAATAACCCTTTCAGATATAGTGATGAGCCTCCCTTGTTCTATTTGGAAAAAAATTGTTAACATCATAATAACGATATTGTGAATTTTGAATGAAACTGTGAAACAGATAGAAAGTTAAACTTTCATAGTGATGATTATTGGTCCATATTTCACTTTCACAGGATTATAATGAGTGAAATAATTTGCTAATAGTGAACAAAACTTATGGGCCTTATTTTATACCCTCGGCTGAAGCCTCCGCATATAATCTTGGGTGATAGTTATTCTTTACTTCCTTGGTGTATAAATATAACTATTATCTATATTTATGATTTTTTGCCGAACAAGTTATAGACTTCGGCATAGACTCTGTTGATTAAAAATAGTTATACAAGGTGTCCCGAAATTAGCCTGCCAAACTTCACCAGCGGCTTCTACGACCAAAAATAGGAAGAAAAAATTCGATTAACATGAGTCGAACATTGTATCCTGAGGAAGCTACGGCCATGAAATCATTCCAAAATTTCATTCAGGAGTGTTTAATACAGGGTGGGACTAGATTAAATATTGCTCAAACTTTTCTGTATGTATATTTTTCGACAATTCAATCTCGGATTATGAAAATCTATACCTCTTACAAAATGATTCTTGTTCCATATCGATCAAATGTATTATTCTCGAGTAAAATTGATTTAGAAATATTGTTACATCTCACATATTATGCATAAAATTGCAATAAATCGTAGTGGCTATGGAAGAAATGCACAAAAAGTTGAAGCAATTATTCATATCATTTTCCTATTTTACGCGCATCTGCGTATCTATGAAATTGTTTGGTGAAAAACAAAGTAGTTGATTTTTTTAAAGCCACTTTGATTTGAAATTTGGCAACGTTATGCATAATATTTGAGATGTAATTTGTAACAATATTCGATTTCACTCGAAACTGATACACCTGATCGATACGGAACAAGAGCACCTTTTTTCAGTGAAGAAGTGTGGTTTTTGATAGTCCGGTCGAAAAAATAGGCATACTAAAAATTTCAGCAATAATAAATGTAGTCCCACCCTGTATCAAACACTCCTGAATTAAATTCTGGAATGATTTTAATTTCACTACATTGGACATAGAAACTTAAGTTGTTGTACCGAATTGCAACATTTCATTACATGGCGTTTCCAGAGGGCCGTAGCTTCCATAGGCGACATTTTTCGACTCATGTTCATTGAAACTTTTCTTCCTATTTTTGGTCGTAGGAGCCGCTGGTGAGATTTGGCAGGCTAATTTCGGGACACCCTGTATACTTCCGTTATTGATTTTATAATTTCAAAATCAGGCTTTCAAATTTATTCTGGAGTGATCATAAAATGAAAGTTCAAATAATAATCTATATATGGCTGAATTCTTACCTCATGGAACCAGTAACTCCAGGTGTTATAAGAACGGCTAGTTGTTGTTGGGTTCCTACTTGTTTCAGGGAATGGGCCAAGACCAAGGCCCCAAGTGAATAGGAATCATTCGTGGCTAGTGTGACCCAAGCATGACCTGTAAATTGAAAATTGAAATAGATCCTTTTATAATCAACTAAACTTGTTTGTACATACGGGGGATGTTTCTAAAGTTCTATGCGATCCGGCGAAATGTATACCTCCGTTTTATGAATTTTCTACTACAAATTTAGAATCATCAAAAGATTTGAAGTCGATTTGGAAATTTCCTGAAATCTTTTCGGAAATATCTCTAAGAAACAGTTTATAAAGCTGAACGTGGAAATATGATCTTTGGTGTAGGATGGTTGATTTATTGAAATTCTGCACGTATGCTTACAACAGCTGCACTGAAAATGTCACAAGATATGGAAGTTACAATATTTACTGCCACGTACATCAGTCTACAACTTTTTTGTTCTTGTTTGAGTTACACCAATAATGTCTTTTGGGCATGGTTGAAGTTCATTGAAAACTGCAATAATCGAATAATGACTAAGCAGAGTTTATAGGCTCCTGTGAAACGACAACGTATATATACCTACTTATCTTACTATACAGAGTGTTTCACAATTTATCAGATAATATAGACCGAATATGTTTTTTTCTAGTGCTAATTAATCTATTATTTCATATTGGCACCTATCAGACTATTAAAAATACGAAATGAACCTCATCATTCACAAGTTGTTTTTGAAAACTTTTCAGTGTCAGTAATGACTATAGTACATCAGTTACTCAGATACTGTAGTGTATATGTTTTTTCTTTATCTCTTGGAGCGCACGAAAGGAACTTCCTAAAATGTTGTCACGAGGAACATCGCGCGTACCTTGGGGGAGGATAGGGAAAGGATAGGTAAGTGTTGAATTTTCTTTGAACTTTTGGAGGTTATAAGTTCTTGGGAATACTTCTATTGGCAAAGAGTTCCAAAGCTTCGCCGTTTTATAGACGAACGAGTTTTGGTAGAGTATTCTTCTACATTTTTCAAGGTTAACGACGAAGGGATGTACTGACTGGGCCTGACGAATTCGTCTGACTGGTATTACTAGTGATGGAATTATAGCAGAGATTTCTGAGGAATATTTCCTGTGGAAATATCTATAGAAAAGTGAAAGATTCTTCTCTGGATGGAATCTAAGAACATCAGCGTATGTTTGGTGAACCCCATACATGCGAGAACAGTATTCTAAAACTGCCCGTATCTGTGCTTTGTAGATCATGAGGAGCTGTTGACGTGTAAAGTAGATTTTCGCACGGAATTAGAATGCGAGTTTTTGTGAAGCATGCAGCTATTGCGATGGATTGGACATGATTTTCACATTAGAGAGTATTGCTGATGGTGATACCGAGCAAAGATATAGTGGTCTTGGTGGTACTAGAATTATTGTTACATCAGACATACTCAGTTCCGCTTTTCTAGAGAAAATACAGGCTTGAGTTATGGTGGCGTTGAATTCAACTAGGTTCTTCATTGACAGCGTTGGCCAGTCGTAAGTTCTTAGTTGGCGGTAAAAAAATTCGTACGAGTTATGGATCACCCTGTATATAATGATAACATTACAGGTAGTAACAACTCAAAAAATATGCTCCGAAAGATTCCGTATGTAGGTTTATTTTAGATAAATATTATAGAAAACATTATTTTTATTGGCGCGTCTCATCAGTTTTTAGTGTGATTTTACAGCCTGTATGTAGGAGGGCCTTGCCTTAGATATTCAAAATAGTTTCGATATAATAGCGAACTAAAAATAATGCGAAGTAAATACGCAGTAGCCAAAAATACATTTTAAATTCGAAAGTTCAAGTGATATATGTTTGTTGCGTCTTTCACTATCAATTGACAAAAAGCGTCACTAAAAGGATATCAAACTTAGGCCAGTCATCTTACTCTTCTGTATCATTCAGTAAGGGCCACTGAGTCAAAGTATCATACGCAAAATTAAGAGATACAATTTTAATTTGAATTGAACCCTGATCGATAAACATTTTGAAACAACGAAAAGTGTTTTCTAAGGGTAGAATTAGGGATTATTCAATTCGCTCAATTAAGGTGAGCCGCATTATTTAACTTTCAAAAGGAAGTCCTATTTTCAAAAATTTCAAAATTGTTCATTAGGTATTGATTGATATAAGAGGCTGACTCTTTTCTTCTGAAAATATTCTCAGTTTTTATGAAAACAGTTCCAAAATCATTGAGTTCGTCACGACAATAATTGATCTCAGGTACTTTTCCATGAAACGATAAAGTTCTATTTTCGAACTAGATGTAGAAAAACTGATTTCAGTGGCCGAGAATCAGTTATCAAGACAAACTCAATGCTTCATAAATATTCTCATTGAAATAGAAATAGTATATCTGCCCAAAAATATTGTTTCAGCCACTTTTTAGAATGCAAATTTTCGAAAAAATTCCTAATACCTAAATCTGAAAGATGATATTGTAACAATATGCTGTTTTCTCCATGGTTTGTCATGAAAATTCACACTCAGACATCAGTTTCAATCTATCTAGATAAAAAATAGGACTTTCGTTTCAAAAGTTTCCAAGTCGGCTCAGCATGTATGTAAGTGATATTTTGATAAAACTTCGTATGCGAATATTTGAGACATGAGAGAATAGAATATTTATGTTAGTTTCAAAAATAATAAATAATTTCGGTGTTGAAATTCTGATCAGAGGAAGTCATGAAATTATAAATCAAATTCAAATCATAAAGCATCTTGATGTACATTTTGAAAATAATTTACCTACGGCAAAATACGATGAGGTTGGTTATATACAGGGTGATTCATTAAGAATGAGGAATCACTGAAGATAGTAAACATAATATCAAGATTTAGCCCAACGTGCCTGATAAGAATGTTGCTGTTTCAGGAGATACGGGGTGTTTTTGGGGGAGGTTTTTTGTATTTTCAGGCTCTTTGACATGAGAAATACGAATTTGCAACTTAATTTGTGATTTCTCATAGAGGGCGACAGTGGCTTTCTGTTACTTCGGTAATTCACATCATATCTTCTTTGTCTGTTGAATGTTGATCAAAATAAGTGAAAAATCTGAAAGCCCCTTCGATTTCACATAAAAAATGTACTCGTTTTAAAATTGTCTAGCTCTAACGGTTTTTGCGTTATTCGCTCATGAAGAGATTCATGTTTCACTTATAACATTTCAATAATTTCAAATTATGAAGTTAGCGAAGTGATAGTGGAAATAAAAAGAGAAATCAATGATGACAATGACCAACAACGCCACCAACAAACAGAATTTCAAAGTAAATGTTAGATCAAAGTAAATGACACATTTTGAATTCAATTTTCCCTTCTGCAACATTATTTATATAAAGCATGTTTAGCTCAATCTTTATATTTTGGTCTTGACTATCTGTAGTTCAGAGATTTCCATTCTTGATTAATCACCCTGTATATATTTGCAGCGGCACACTTCTACTTTTTTTTTATCTTAGAACTGAAACACAGGTTATATGTGATTTTCATCTCAAAAATGAAAAACAGGGTATTTATTGGTACAGGGTGATACACCATAAATGTCCCCCCCCCCTCCAGCTCACTTATTCTTGAATCGATTTCAAAATTTGAAAAAGAATCAGAGTGCTCAGAACAAACGATCTACAGGGTACTAGTTGATTTTTTCAAATGAGACACCCTGTATTTCATTGCATTTCTAGATTTTCCCTGAAGAGCTATAGATATATTAAGGTGTTCAAAATCGAAAATTTTCAACTCTAGGATTTTTTGTGTCTAAACTATTCATTATTAATCAAAACGACTCACATGTCCCTCTCTTTACATTTGATTGAATATCTACTGACATTTAATTGGAATAAAAATACAGGGTGGTTCAAGATTCAGAATTCTGATCACCCTGTATATGTTCCAATTATTAAAATGACAGTAGATAGAAAATCAAAAGTTAAGATAGGGACAGAAACAATTAATTAGTAGGTACCCTGTAGATCGTTTGTTCCGAGAACCCTATAAGTATTTTCTGATGTATAACAGAAAACACATTCATCAAAAATAATTTCAAATGATTCTTAAATTTTGGATCGATTCAAAAATAACTGAGCTGTAGGGGATGGGGGGACATTTTTGGTGAATCGGCCTGTACCTACTCTGTCGCGAATATTATGGGGAGCAATAAGGTATATAAGTTTTCTGCTATCTGAATCCGAGTCTGAATCTAAACAAAATGATCACCCCAATCCTCATGTCATCAGTTGTGACTTGCCCGCAGTTGCCCCTATACCTATATTTGGTACAAATTATTTGATCAACAATGCTTTATATACGGCTACCATACTTCATAGAAGTGCTCACAATGTTCTTCCATACCATACCAGCATCTTTTGACCTAAGTAATTTGAACAATATCGTTGAACCTTCATTCAATATGATGAGGGTTATTTGAGAAAATCAAGAGCGAAGTATTTTGTTTGATTGGAATATGAAATATCTTCATTCAGTATCTTTCATATATACTTACTTATAAAGGGTGTCGTATACTCCAGGAGGTACTACAGATGAAAATAAAACAACATGGTCCTATCAACATGGATCCAAAAATGCTTCATTATGGCGATGAATGTCACGTTTTGACATGAATTTTTTTCACCGGAAGTGGTAATAAATATTGATTTTCAAATGAAACACACTCTGTGTATCATCGCCTCTTCGAATTCTGATTCTGCATCCTTTTTTGAATCCACTGATACGACATAAGTAGAATTTCAAACTTCAATATTGATTTTAATATCGTATGTTATGTTTGATTTTCCATCTAAGTGTGTATACCTATCTATAGTGTGAATATTGATCTAATTGAGTCTGATGTATAGATACTCATATAATATCAAGAGGCGTATTGCTAAAACGATATATTTCCTGTCAAAAACGTCAAATTTCTTGATTTATCACCAAATTAAGTATATCATAATAGTTTGTTATACCATGATCCTTCCACCTGGTCCCTGTATCAGTATTTTATATTTATTCACCTACCAATATATGTATATAAACATTCAAAATATTTTAATATCAT